GTCACTCCCCTGCTGACTCATGCAGTTGGCATGGTACAGCAGCTGGGCCCTCTACTCCTGAGGTCCTGCCAGATCTCCTCCTTCAGCCTTTGTGACCCCCGGGCCAGGTGTGGTGTGTTTACCCCAGACAAAGGTGCCTGCTACTCCTGGAAGTCATCCTCACGTGGATGGGGCGGGGGGCGGGGGACTCAGAGGCAGGGAGATACTATAATGTGGGTTCCAGCTGGGGTCCGCAGGCTCCGAGTTTTCCTTGCTTTCTCCTACTTTCCTTCCCGACTGTCTGTCCCCTACTGCAGGGCCAGCAATGGATGCAGAAGCAATAGCCTTCCGCAGACCATTTAATGAGCTCCAACAATGACCCTTTCAAGGTCTTAAAACAAATACCTCACTCTATCTCTCCTGTTGCTTCTACTTCTCTGACAAAACTATGACTGACATAGGGAGTTAAACGTACAGATTTCAAGGTCTCGCAACCTGATGGAACCACTTCCAGCTGTTCTAACTTAGGCAACTTACTCAACCTCTCGGAGCCTCCCTTTTCCCATCTGTTAAATGGGAACACTAATCCTTTCCTTCTAGAATTGTTTCGAGATTATAAATGAAAATCATTTAACGGTGCCTTGCCTTCAACAACATTCTACACTTTTCTTGTTGCTAGGTTTGGGGAATATAATGGAGAAGAAGGCTAGCAAGTCCCTTTTCTGGTCAGGCTGGGGGGCTAGTGAGGAATATGGGTAAGTTAGGAAGAATGTAGTAAGTACACTGTGTTAAGTATTCCTATAAGGGGAAGAAAAAACAGTAAGCGAAGACTGGCTTAGTTTGGGTGGTGAGTGGGAGGTGGGGTGAGGTATGTCAAGAAAGGATTCCCAGAGGAAGTAGCATTTAGACTGAGACCCAAGGACAAGTAGAAATCTTTTAAGCATTCTGAGAAGATGGCACTGTGTGTTGCAGACCTGGGAGACAACCGAGAGGCAGTGACTGTTGGAGTTGGTTAGATATGCCCAGTTCTGGCCGTGCCAGCCCCCACTGCCTGTGGGTCTTGAGTCCAGAGCAGGGAAGAGGGGTGGACCTTGGGAAGTGGGTAGAACCCAGAACTGCAAAGCCTTGCTGGGAGCCAGGAGACCTAACCAGAAGACAACTGGCCAGGCTGTGAGGTGCCTCTAGACTGAGAGAGGAAATAGAAAGCACTTTTAGGTTTGGTTTCTAGTAAGCAACTGTGACTTTCTTTATAAGAAGAGGAGAAGGAAGAAGAGCAGGAAAAAAGGAACCCAACACCATGAGTTACATAATGTGCCAGTGAAGGCCACGGGGAGGGTCATGTGGGGACGTAGAGGAAGTTGGAGTCATGTGAAACGTATTCGCTGAATTGGAACTTGGCAGAGGCTCTCCTTGACCTGTGTGCCCCCCACTGCTACAGTTACTTGGCAGGAAGGCGGCAGAAGGCCTTTATACACAACTGATAAAGAGGGTATATCTTCTTCAAATGCCAGTCTTACCTGAAGATTATTTTGGGGGATATCTTATTTTAAAAATGTATCCAACAGATACATTATGGAACAGAATGCAAATATCTTTTTTTTTTCACTTTTTAGGATAAAATATAAGTCTTCAAAGAAATATAATGTTGATATCTGTTTCCTGCTCTTCCCTTAGATCTGGGTTAGTGAGTCCAAGGTGTCTCTGTTTTGACATTGGATGTTCTTGGGAGGAGAAAGAACTTGACCAGAAGCTGGTCAACAAGCACCAGGATAAGGCCCAGGTGAGAGTTAGGAATGAGCTTGCTTTTCCTGACAGGCTAACCCACCTCTGGGACTGGGGGACCCAGTGCAAAATGAAGATGTAAGGTCCTTTATTCAAAGACTGGTAAGAATTTGAAGATGGTGAAGACAAGAACCCTGAATAATGATGTAGGTCCCACACTCATGAAGCTGGTTCCATTTTTCTCCCCACTACCAAACCCAAACCTGGAACACTTCAGAGACACCAGCTGAAAAGAGGGAGGGAGTGAGAGAGAGAGAGAAAGAGAGAGGCACTTTCCCCCAGTTTTCCTATGTATAGCCTTTCACACCTCCCAGGGTCTTTGTCTTCTCTGAATGGTTGAGAAGAGGGTGGACAGGGCAAGATTCCACGAGGTTCCATGTTGTCAATTAGTCCTGCTGGTGTCTCTGATGCCGGCCTGTGTTTTCCCATGAAAGTAAGTAGGAAGGCAAACTATTTGTGGCTACCCGTGCACACCTCCTCTGTGCTTACAGATGGGTGGGTCAGGAGAACACGAGGTTTGAGCTCTGCTACCTGGATTATATTGTGGTCTAGTTGCATGATAGCTGAAGTTGGATAGCCGAGCATCTTCCTACAAAATTTATAGGTGACCTATTAAAAAAAAAATTATAGGTGACCTAACCCAAACCGATATTTCTCAAGATAATTAGGTCAGTCAGGGGAGGTAGGTACTAGTTCATAGAAAATGGCTTCCTCTGCAAGTTGTCACTGAGACCCAACCCAGGACACTCACACACATTGCCACTACAGAATATTTGTCTCCTTCCACCATAGGCAGATACAGCAAGAAGATGGCTGCCTTAGAACCAGGAAGCTCTTGCCAAACACCAAACCTGCTGACACCATATCCTTAATTTCTCATTCTCCAGAACTGTGAGAAATTTCTGTTTCTAAGTGACCCAGTATTTGGTATTTTGTTATCATAGCCTGAACAGACAAGGACGAGGGCCTTCTATATCCAGGTGTTGGCTTCCAATGGTAATCCTGAGAGACTAACTAGTCCCTGCCCCTGCTGTGGTAGCTGCCTGGTGATGTGAGAATTCTTGCTAGCTTTTTGAAGGCAGGAACTACTTTTGACTCATCCTTGTGTCTCCTTCAGCAGTAATCACAGCCCCTTCCCCTTACCATCTGCATCATCAACAAAAATAGTTGTTGCCTTCAAAGAAATAGATGCTATTTCGGTAGTACGTTGTGACAAGTGAAAAAAGTCTGTCACAACTCTAGACAAATATTTTGCTAGTTTGGGGATTAATTTTAATGTGAATGCCTTAAACCACAGAAGTCAATGCCATGTGTTTATGGTAGCTTTGTTAGTATTACAACATAGAAATTCATCAGGCATAAGTTATTCCCAGTCAGGTTTTCTATTTTTGTTAGCCTTTTTACAATTGCTTTTATTAGTTTTTCCTTCATGATGTCTTGGAGAGCTACCCCATAAAATTATTAATGTTGGCTATTTGGCAGCTCTTTCAGGACATTGCAGGATTTACGAGCTATGTAGGTGGCAATGAAAACTTCACAGCATTTTTTGTTGCATATTTTCTGTGTGCCACATAGTTTAGAAAAAAAGAAAAAACTTTTAAGCACATTAGATGCTCCTGGACCAGCACAGCTTTGTGTGGGTGCTGCCTAAGCTTGAGGAGTATGCATCTATATTTCTTCAATCCCCTCATTCTGTTCCTAGTACTCTGAAACTGCCCTGCCAAGATTGCCAAAGACCCCCAATGGCCACTTCTCAATGGTTCCTTTGCTGACTTCTCTGCTTATCCTCTAAACGGTGGTGTTCTTGACTCATCTTCTCCATTTATCCTGTCTTTAGTTAATCTCATCCAATCCCGTGGTTTAGACTTCCATCTGTATGCCAATGACTCCCAAGTTTGAATTTTTATCCCTGACCTCTCCTACATGGTCTAGACTTACATAGCTAAATGCTCACATGATAGTTCTACCTTGATGTCTAATAAGCATCTGACTCTCAATATTTTGGGAGATGTGAGTCTTGATCTCCCCCTTACAACTTGTTCCACCAAACTACCCTCCCCAGCTTTTCCATCTCAGAAAATGACACCATTTTACATTCAGCTACTCAAACTCAAACCCAGGAATCATCCTCTCTTTCCTTTCCTCATGGCCATATGGAATATGTCAGCAAATTCTGTTGACTCTATCTCCAAGTCTATCCTGACTTTGCTGCTGACACCTCTACAGGTGCCATCCTGATCCAAGCCAGCATCATCTTTGTCCTAATTGCCTTCTCTGCTCCCTCTCTGTCATCTGGAGTCAAGTCACAACCCAAATGCCAGAAGGTTATGTCAAAACATAAGCAGAATATGTTATTCCCCTGCTTGAAACACTCCAGTGGCTTCTAGTCATACTTAGAAGCAAACCCAAAGGCTCCTCCTGACTTCTAAGACTTCACATAAATTGGCCTTTGCCTACCTTTCCCCACTCATCTCCCTTGGAAATCCTACACTCTAGCCACAGTACCCTGGAACACACAGAGCTACCTCTCACCTTAGCACCTTTGCATTAGCTCTTCCCACATGCCAGACATGTTCTTTTTCTAGACCACCCCATGTCATCCTTCTTATCATTCAGGTCTCAACTTCAATGTCATTGTCTCAGAGAGACCATCTTTGACTACTCGGCTACAGCCCCCACCCCAGTTCTGGTGGTCACTTCTCTTTCACATCACCCTGCTTTATTTTCACCATAGTGGTTATCATTACCAAATATTTCCCTATTATTTGTTCATAGATTTATGTGGGGGACATGCCTAGAATGTAAGTTCCATGAGAATAGGGACCTGATCACCTTGTTCAATGTTGTATGTCCTGGCACAGGCTAAGTTCTTAGTACATGTTTGATGACTGAATAAAGAAATGATAAAGTGTCTTTTACAGAGAGCCAGTCCTGTCCATAGGCTGTTAGCTAAATTATGAGACTCAGAGGTATCTCAAACTCCTAGTTGCATAGCCATAATTTCAACTCTTAACGGTCACTCCATTGCCTCTGTCCTGAAATATTGTTATTGTTATTGTAAAAACAAAACAAAACCGCAAAACAGGAGAATAGGATGCTACCTTGTTAATACATTAATTCATCAAAACATGTGCCTGAGAAAGAAATAAATTATTTTCACTTTGGAAAGCAGAAGAAGTGGGACCAAGAACAAGTAGATTATAATGAAAGTAGCAGAGAGACTATGAAAATTTGCCTACCTGGGGATGCTGCCCAATAGGGACAGATAAGCGTGAAAAATTAGCTGGTGGGAGGAGCTTGATCCCTGAGAGGCCATAACTGGAGAGAGAGTGAAGAGAGGATTTGCTGAGTACTTTCCACATGCCAGCATTATTAGGTGACTTAAGGATAGGAAGAAGTAAAACACAGACCTTAGACATCAGTGCCTTTGAGAAAGCTGACTTATGGTGATTTCTAATGTGGAAGGATAATTATGCTTAATAAATAGGCACAAACATTTCAGTTCTGTCATATCCCCAGTCTTTTCTCCTAATATCAGTTTATATCTCTACAAGCAAAAATCAGTTAGCTTCGGGGATTGATAAAATTCACTGAAACACACATGTAAAAGTAGATGTTACTTTGCTGATTTGGAATGAATTCTGGCAAGAATTCCCAGATAAACATACAAATACATTCTTTGTTCGTTTCCAGGAACAGCCTTTTTATGGCTTTTGAGACCTAGTCTAAATCAGTTACCGTAAGAATTAGTGTTTCTGATAGGTGTTGGCCTTGTAAAACTGGAAAAAAAAAAGAATCATATTTTCTTTCTTTCTTTTTTTTTTTTTTAAAGATTTTATTTATTTATTTGATAGACAGAGATCATAAGTAGGCAGAGAGGCAGGCAGAGAGAGAGAGAGGGAGCAGGCTCCCCGCAGAGCAGAGAGCCCGATGTGGGGCTCGATCCCAGGACCCTGGGATCATGACCTGAGCCGAAGGTAAAGGCTTTAACCCACTGAGCCACCCAGGCGCCCCAAGAATCATATTTTCTATAACATATGAATGCACAAGTGATTCATTCTTTGGCTCAGGATGGAAACTTTTTTTTTTTTTTTTTGGCATTTTTGATTCATCTTTCTGCATTAGCTTAACAGATTTTTCTCAATAAGATGTAGACACTGAGTAGACTTCATTCACCAGGAAACACCAAGATAAATGGAGTGACTGATATCCAGCAATTTGAAGCTTGTAAATATTTATGAGAAAATTATATCCGTCTTTGTGAGGATTTCTGTTTGAAACTTGTATGTAACTATTATGTGCTCTAGATTCTCTTTAATTTATGGATTCTATGGTTAGTATTGCCATGCTACATGACAAAATCACTATGAAAAATTTGTATAAAATAGCTATATTGAATCTTAAATAAAAGGAACAATCTGGTTTATTTACTCATTATAACCCTTCTCCCAACTGAGCCTAGAGCATCACATCTTGGAATCAGTAACCCAAGTTCTAGAACAGCTAGATAATTTCTTGGGCCCAGTACAATATGAAAATGTGGGGCCCTGGGTGGCACAGTTGGTTAAGCATCTGCCTTTGGCTCAGATCATGATCCCGGAGTCCCAGGATCGAGTCCCACATTGGACTCCCTGCTCAGCATGGGGGTCTGCTTCTGCCTCTCCCTCTGCCCCTCCCCCTGCTCATGTTCTCTCTTTGTGTGTGCTCTCTCTCAAATAAATAAAATCTTAAAAAAAAAAAAAAGAAGAAGAAAATGTGGGGCCCCTTGTTAAAAAATTGTTAAGAATTAAAAAAAATTTCAAGATGGCAATCCAGCCATCACACTACTGGTTATTTACTCAAAGAATAATAAAAATCAAAAGGATACATGCACCCTTGTTTATAGTGGTGTTATTTACAATAGCCAAGATTTGGAAGCAACCCAAGTGTCCATTGATTGAAGACTGGATAAAGAAGATGTAATATATATAATGAAATATTACTCAGCCCTAAAAATAATGAAATCTTGCCATTTGCAACAACATGGCTGGAGCCAGAGAATGTAATGCCGGGTGAAATGAGTCAGTTAGAAAAAGACAAATAGCTATGATTTTACTCATGTGTGGAATTTAGGAAACAAAACAACTGAGCAAACGGAAAGAGAGAGAGAGAGAGAGAGAAACCAGAAATAGACTCTTTTTTTTTTTTTTAATTAATTTATTTATTTGACAGAGAGAGAGATTACAAGTAGACAGAGAGGCAGGCAGAGAGAAGGGAGAAGCAGGCCCCCTGCCAAGCAGAGAGCCCGATGTGGGGCTTCATCCCAGGACCCTGAGATCATGACCTGAGCTGAAGGCAGAGGCTTAACCCACTGAACCACCCAGGTGCCCCCAGAAATAGACTCTTAACTATAGAGAACAAACTGGTGATCCTAGAGGGGATGTGGGTTGGGGATGGGTACAACAGGTGATGGGGATTAAGGAGGGCATTATGAGGAGCACCAGGTGTCATATGCAATCGTTGAATCAATACCTGAAACTAACATAGCACTGTATGTTAATTAATTGGAATTAAAATTAAAACTTAAAACACAAAAAGAGTCTCAAGATGGCAACAGCAGAGTATTAGGCCCAGCTTGGGGCTTTCTATGTATGGACACTTCAGTGACCACATAGGTCTTGACCCCAGGAAGCTCTGAACCTACCTTTCCCTGTGTGCAGCAGGGAAAGAATAACCCACTTTCGGTTAAGCATGCTAGTACCTATAACAACTGAGGGAGGGAAATCAAGTTGTTTATGTAATTGTGATGTTCAAGTAAGAGAAAATAGAATTTTATAACAATTTGCTAGTGTAAGGGTTTCTCCTGACAAGTCTTCTAATTTAAACTTGGAACTTTAGTAAGAAGTTCAAAATTACTTTGGAGTACTAGACCCAAATATTTACTTGTTCATGAAAATATTTTAATGCTTCCCCTCTAGTATGGTGGCACCCAGACCAGGCTGACCATCATAAATACTTTGGGACCATTTAAAAAACACAGATTTCTAGGTCCACTATGGACCTAGGTTGGCAATAAGACAATACATAGAAAATCAATCAATCAATCCTTTTTCGGCCTACTTATCTTAAGTAGAGGCTCTGCAACTCAGTATTGGGAACTATCATCCTCAGCAAAACTTAGGAGAGATTGTTTATTTCGACTTACAGGATAGATCCAGCCATTCTTAAATAAAGTGCTGTGGGACAGTGGTCAAGAGGACAGGAAGAGTTATGAGAAAAAGAATGTAAATATAGTCTTTTAAAAATTTGTATTATATATTTTTATTTTAAAAACAACTGTATAAGTTAGAATGCCATAGTAAGTATACTTAAATCAGTAAACCTTTAAAATGTTCTATTATTTTCAGTATTGTGTCTCATGGTCTTTTTAAATAGGTTTTCAAGATTTTTTTAGTTGTGGTAAAATACATGTAACATAAAATTTACTATCATAACCATATTTAAGTCTACGGTTCAGTGGTGTCAACTGTATTTACATTATGGTGCAACTAATCTCCGGAACTTTCTCATCTTGCAAAATGGAAACTCTACCCATTAAAAATATCTCATTTCCCCCACTCCAGCCCTTGGCCACCTTCATTCTACTTTCTTTCTCAGTGAATATGATTACCCTAGATACCTTAAATGAGTGGAACCATATAGTATTTATCTTTCTGTGACTGGTTTATTTAACCTAGCACAATGTCCTCAAAGTTCATCCATGTCAAAACATGTGTCGGAATTGCCTTCCTTTTTAAAGGCTGAATAATATTCCATCCTATGCACATGCTACATTTTATTTATCCACTCATCCATTGATGGATACTTGGGTTGCTAGTTTTTGCTTTATACTCCCAAAAGAGTTTACCAAGACATTGCTTCAAAATAAGTACCGTGTTCTCCCCAGAAAGAATTCTACTGAATAACATTTCTCCATTGTTACCAATAGCAAATTTGTAGTTTGGCTGCTACATTAAGAAAAAGTGAGTCAAGGGGCACCTGGGTGGCTCAGTGGGTTAAGCCTCTGCCTTTGGCTCAGGTCATGGTCTCAGGGTACTGGGATCAAACCCCGAATCGGGCTGTCTGCTCAGCAGGAAGCCTGCTTCCCCCACCCACCTCTGCCTGCCTCTCTGCCTACTTGGGATCTCTCTCTCTGTCAGATAAATAAATAAGATCATTTTTTTTTGTTTTAAAGTGAGTCAATCCATCATTAAGGAAAGTATCACTACTGTTTGAAAAAGTTAACATCATCTGAAAGTTTCAGGGTCCCCAATGATAAATGCTGTCTAAATGATGATCTTCACTTTTCTTTGCTCTCATTTGCACATGATAGCTTGGAAGCAGCAGAAGTAACAGAAGGTTTAGCAAAGAAGGACTTGATTTTAAAGACCATTTTTCTTGCCAGTGTGACTTCATGGAAAAATGAAGTTCATCAAATTCATGTAAACTCAGCTGGAACCTTTATATACATGTGGGAGAGTTAAGGAAATCCATGAACTTTCCATAAACATCCTGAATGTGCTGTGTAAGGGAGCTCCTGACCTTCCAGTCGGTTCCTTTGCTTCCCTTTCCTTCTACCTCATCCTCTTTGATCAGAAATATATGCGGCTTCAGTCCTGTATGAGGCTTCTGATTGTTTTGTGTAAAGGAAATAAATAAAAAGGGAAGGTGTGACTCATTGGGGGGTAAAAGAACAAGGAAGAATGAGTGAGGAAGTGTCAGATCAGAGATATACAAGAAGCACGTTAAAGACTTAAGATACATGAACAGCCACATCTTAATGTTTGTGTTGATAAATGGGACTAAAGAGAGACTGTTGAAGAAAACTGGCAGAAGTTGAAAGCATGAAATGGAAAGAAGACAGATAACCAGCTTTTTGCTTCTATTTCTTGAGCCGAGCCAATTTGGTCAGAGACCTGCTCCCATAAGTCTATGAACCAATGTGGAAAGTTGATTAATACAAAAACAAAAACATTAAATGCAGAAACTCCCAGGCCTCTGTCCCCAGTCAGCTCCCAGAACTGGACAGTTTTCCTGGACTTACCTTCCAGGTAGGAGATGGTAAGACTCTTCTTACAGCCCAAAGGGAAATACTTAAAAATACTAAATGGGGGTAGAGGATGAGGAGGAAGAGAGTCAGCAAATAATCCACCCATGCATTCTAGAGTGAAGATCAAAATTGCTAAGCCTCTTTCTTGAACTTCCAAAGAGTTTTTAGTCTCCCATTTTTATAGTATTTTAGAGAGCAAAAAATGCTTTGGATAGAACTTGGGTGGTGGTGTTTATGAAAAGCCATTTCG